GTAATCAAGGTGAACATGTTTGTCAGGTAGGCACCTTGTCAACACTTTCATCAAGTGCAGCCACACTTGGATTATCAGCAAGCCAGCATTTAATTTAAGGGAAAGCAAGCACGAAAAATTGACACAAACTATTCAGCCGAGTAACAGAACTGAACGAACCAAATAAAGAGGAATGACTTTTGTCCAGAATAAACAAATCTAGATTAGTTGTAATTGGTTTTAGCTACGTTACACCCATGCTAGTCTGTTTACTCCGAATTTGTCGGGACTGGTTAACACAATGTTTCTTCGTGTCTTGTAGCCACTGGATGAGCAGGAGTCCTGATGCGACTGGTCTGCTGCATCGTCGAGTCGTTAAAATGAGTAGCAGTGGCGCAGAAATAACAAAAATCGAAAGAGCTTTCCAGGGCTTGCAATTTTGAAGGAAGAAACCATTCCGGAGGCATTCCAAAAGACAGTATTGGGTGGAAACTTTAAACTGGAGAGCATTTAGTTTTGTGTTTCAGTTAAGTTTTAGGCGATGGCGGCAAGCGTAGACGATGATAACATCAGCAGCACACTCCTAGGGCTTTCGGAAGTAGCCCATATGGAGGACGGAACAAGCCCTTCCTGCTTCTATCTTTCGGTGCAGAGTCTGCAATGCAGCCACCTGGCGCTTAAAACACGTTTGTCAGGTATCACCCAGGTACTCTACCTACGGCCTCATATATGCCTTCAGCATTTGAGGGAAGATGCATAGGTCGAACCGTCCGAATGCTCAACACATTACTTCGCTGTTCGGGGAATATCCACGGATTGCTTCGAAGAGCCGAGGTCAGCTTTCTTCACCACAACAATGTCGTGCTCCTGAGAGATGGTCAACAATATGTTATTTAAGATTTGTTACAGGACAAGTGGCATACATGCCCTGTTCTACACTTATCCGCGTTGAACTGAAGTACAACGAAAAATAACATGTTGTAGGTAAGAAAGCAATGACTTGACAAGTCCCGTACGATGGCTGGCCTGAACGTATAAGGTAAAAATTTGTGAGGCGTTTGTTTAAGTATCTATCGAGCAAATGTCCTGCCAAATAATAGTTGTATGAAATCAAAATTAGATGCAAGCATACAAGACAAAATGGCGGCAGTTTTAGCTGACCTACATTAGGCTTTGTTTATTGAATAACGCAGTCCAAGTCTCGTTGCAGCAAGCTGTGATATAACTGATGCCCGATCGCCGGCTATAGCTGTTTGTCCACGCGAAAAGCAAGAAATTTTAATCGCAGACACGCGTGAGTTTGTTACTAAACGACAAGCATAAGCATGTGTTTAACATTTTTCCTTGTAGAAAACTGCAGTTCACCAAAAGAGGATCAGATGACGAGCTTCAACCTTAAACTTCCTCCCCAAATGAAGAGGGCAATTTCCGATCCATCCACGAACTGGTTTCCCAATTTCATTTGTTTGCAGCATTTGGAGAAAATGACGTAAGCTAATTGCTCGGAGGCTTTGAAAAATCAGGAGAGTTGATATCATTTTCGGTCCGCGCCACAGGCAATCCGTAGGATGGCATTATTTCGTCGGTTATGACTGGGGCCGTGCTGCACCAAGCGACGTGATGCCAAGTCTTTTTAAATTACCCATTAATGCCTCATCAGTGGTCGGCTCCATCACTTTTGACAGCGCTGGAAGGAGAGCATCATTGCGCCGTATTTGGCGCTCTCCGAACGTCTAACACCCGTAGCAATCGGGTCAGTGAAACCCTGTTCCTGCACGTTAGGACCCGGTTGTTTACCAAGGCGTCCTTGAAAGGATCGGGCTAATGACAAGGCCAGCCTTGCAGCTGTCATCTTCAGCACTTTTGGATGGACCATGGGGAGCCAATGGGGAACCATGAGCCAACAATGCTTTCAGCATCCTCCAAACAATGCTTGAACGAATATTGACATGCGTGAATGCAAGTTTCCGTGGGAGGCCTGCAACTGTGTGATGCATGGTGGTAGCGAGCACGAATATCCAAGTATATTGCGACCGTATAACATTGGCTGTATTCTCCGCGCATTAAGCAAATCGGTTTGTTAATTTCAGTGGAGAAGCACTGCGCTTCACTTTCCGCAGACTGTACACGTGGTCACAAGGTAGATTGCTATTGGGACAAGACCTTCCGCTATCCAGTATTGTTGCTTTAATTTGTGCTCGAATAAAGTGAATACCCTGCATTACATAGTTGCTTCAGTTGCCCGAACTAGATTTAGCTCCGTACGCACGCCACGCACCGTCTCTAATCGCCATTTGTTATTGGGTCCGCTCAAAGTGCATGAAGATGCTCTTGCCGAGCGACGAAGTCTGGTTCAAATCACCGAAAGAGTCAAACAACTGAAAGTGCTAATCTAAGAGCCATCAATGGATCCGTCATCCAAAGCCTCCCAGATTGCATCTGCAACCGGTTCTGTTTGTAGATCGCATTCTCCGTAATTCTGTGGGCAAGCTGCTTAAGACACATAGACAAATTAAATAGGGAGGTGATTATTCAACCCTAGAGAATTACGCCTTTTCAATGAATCATGGGCAATACTGATCTTCAGCAAAGCATACATTCCCATTCCTGTGGAAAAGCCTTATCAGACGTGTGATTAGCTAAGAATTATTTTTGTGTAAGCTCTCCTTGGACCCAAACTTTTACGTGGCGGTGATTAGCTGATGTTAGCGTACAATTGGGCTGGAAAATTGAATACTGGGTTGCTTGGGTAATCAGTCGATATATCTTGGCAAAGCTGTAGGTGGTATACAAAGTAAATAAGGAAAACTAACATAAAATCCAGATCTCCCAATGTCATTCATTTATTATACACCTTAGCTGGAGGTGGAAAACTCCTCAGCTATTGTGCCGCAATACAAAAGACAAGGAAAGGAAAACAACAGTGGCACGCTTGCTGAGTCCCCAGTAACGGATTGACATTGTTCCGGAGAGCTAACAACTGGCTATCGTGCCGTAATAAGAGAGTTATATTATGCCTAACGAGTGGAGGGGATGAAGGGGGATGCTAAGCAGGAGGGGGATGGACAAAGGAACTCACAATACGTACGCGATTGGGGCCGGCTCCAAGCCATATCAGCAAGTGTGTCCAACCAAACTTGTTCACCGTCCTTAGGACCCCAGCTAGGCAGCTGGGATGCACCAAAATACACCAGCTTCGAAGTGAGGGTTTTCATCTCTCTCGACCAAGTCATCGCTTGGCCTCCCCTCCTCCTCTTCCAACCGCACCCACAACGCGCAAACAGTGCACGTCGTGGAACTCGGTGTGCTGGCATGCGCAACACGTGGCCCAACCATCGGAGCCTGGTGTGTGATATGATGGTGCTGAGCGATTCACTCGCTCTTCCTGCACCAAATATGCGACGCCGAACACGCTCATTGCTTACGCAGTGCTCCCACAAGACATGAGCTATGCTGCGAAGGCAACGATGATCGAATATGCCGAGCATCTTTATGTCTGTCGACCTAATAGGCCAGGTTTCACAACCACATAAGAGAGTTGAACGGATGGCTGCGTTATAAACTCTGCCCTTCATGGCGAGATTAATGTCACAGATTAGAGCAATATCGCCAGCATACTCTAAGTCAAGAAGTCGCTCACCAGGAATTAGCTCCACACCTTCTAGGTCGTGTCCAGCGAACGCTGTTTCCATGTCCTCAGCAATAACGAAATTAAAGAGGAAAGGTGATAGCGGG